CTCTGTTCTCTCTGTTCTCTCTGTTCTCTCTGTTCTCTGTGTCACCTGTGCATCGTCCGCTGGAACCGCAGCTTCATGACCTTCTCAGCAGGGGCTCCTGGGAACTCCAAGACCAACAGCAGACACCCTCTCAGCCGCCGGGGTCTCGTCCTGCACACAGTGACAGATGGGACAGTGAAAACCAAACCATCTCTGCAGCGCCCCCTTCTGCTCATGTTGACAAATTCACAGCTTTTGCTTTACATTTTCACGGTGTAGCTTCTCTCAGCTGCTCCCTTCAGGGGGCGCCACAGCAGATCATCCTCCTCTAGCTACACCTCAGACATCGTCGTCAGAACCAGAAGGTTACTGAGGAGTCGAGTCTACGTCGGTTCTTGAGCCTTTGCTCCTTTAATCACATCAACCGCCTCCACCTGCAGGTTCCGCTGACACCGCCTCGTCGGAGCTTCGGTAACAATTCCATCTTCCTGTTCCTGGACTACGCCCCCTGTCTGTTGACTTCTTTTTCAGACTAGTTAACCCTGACTAGGCTGTGCTACTCGTGACTTCTTGTTATGGTCAAGTGACCAGGGACACGTTCTCTCCTCCGGCTCACAGACCGTTGGACGACCGTAAAGCGGGAGAATCCTGGAATATTCATCCGTTCGTTTCCAAACATTAAAAACACATGTATTCTTCACCGAACACTCGTTTTCTTACCAGCCACAGACAAACGCAGCAACGCAGCATTACGGAGTCTTCGAGTGATGTGCTCCTCCTTCGAAATACGTCACTTTACGACCAGTGGCCGCTGCCCGGGTTGCCAGATTTTGCGATTGAAACAAGCAAATGCCAAACACAACACAGCAGCGGGTTCAGGCAAAAAGAGCCAGAACTAAAGTGGTCAGTGGTTTAGGAAGCGGACGTGGGTCTGGAAGGTTCCAGGTTCGACTCAAGCAGCTTTTTCACCCGTCAGTTGAAGAGTATAATATTACGGAAGCGTTTTGCTGCCACACTGAAAGAAATGGCCCAGTATCACGTAATTACGTATATATTTTATTTTTTTAATATATATATATATACTGTATATATATATATTATTTTGGAATTGAAATTATTGAAATTATTACGAAATAACGTGAAACGTTAAAGTTATCACGTAATTACGTGATACTGGTCACACTTTTTCTTCAGTGTGGCAGCAAAACGCTTCCGTAATATTCAATTTGTGAATCAAATGAATGTTTTTTAATTTACAAAAAATAAAGAAATGAGGTATAATATTTTTAATGAATTAAAAAAACATCTAAAACCATTATGAAATATAAAAAATACTATTATTAACAGTAAATAAATTAAAAAATAAAATCAATAATAAAATAAAACAATGGCAAATTCAAATCTCCCAACTATGAAACAGACCGTGTCAATAACAAATTAAACGTTTTAAACCGATTCTCTGGTCTGAACTGAGCTCTAAAATAACCTGAGGTAGGTCACATATTTGCCCACTAGATGGCGGAATTTGACAAAAAAGAACTATAGCTATGTTGTAGAAATGAAGAGTTGCAGATGACCAGTCAGTGGATCCCGTCCCTGTTAACTGCACCAAACTGGACACCATCCACGTCAGCCCTGAAGCACAGTGACCTGTGGGGCACGTCCAGATGGGAAGAGGAGGACAACGGTGGTGGAGGAGGTGCGTCGTCAGGAGGACGATAGAAGTGCGAAGGCGCTCTCTCTGGTCAAATAGGGACCAGGGCTGAGGTGAGAAGGTCTGGAGAGGAGAAAACTCTGCTGGAAAAACTCTGGGAAATGGAGGCGAGAAACGTCAGCTTCATCATCAGAGCAACCTACGATGAGCTCCATCTCCAAACCATGTTTCCACCAGACACTGGAGCCACCACCTTAGACCAGGGTACACTACTGACGACGGCTGTGAAATCAGTCCACCCCCCAGCACCCCCCACAGTGGACAGTTCACCATCACTCTGGGCCCCTTGTGGTGGTTATTTGAATAAACTAGTTCTTAGTAAAAGTGCAGTTTAGTTCAGGTCTGGATGTTTAAGAATTTAAATCCAGACCTGATTCATTACTCACCGAGTTCGGTTCAACATTCAAGACTGACATCTGCAGTGACCTCACGTTTTTAAAATGTTTTAATTTATAATTGAAAAAAAAAATACATTTTTACAGGAGCCCATTTAGATGTTACAGGCAAAACAGGCATAAATGGGTTATGATGGGGGGGGGGGGTTGGGGGGGGGAGAAGCCAAGTGTAAAAGCTGTGGCCTCTGTTAAATATCGTCTGCCGTAACATCATTAGCTGCAGGGCGGCGGCCTCGCGTCGTAACCAACCGGCTCATTCTATGACACAGGTAAGACCAAAAGAAACAAAACAAAACAAAAAAAGGTGAGATCAGGTTGGATTTGGAGTTTTAAATATCTAACATATGTACAGAGGTGGAGAAATCAGACACGTCAGAATCCATCACCCCGTTTCCTGGAGTTGTACATGTGGCCTCCATGTTACAGGACTTCACCCCAGTGGGACCAACGGAGGGAGCATGTTCAACCTGAAGGAACCAGGCGTCAAATTCAGACAATTGGAGCACATGTTGAGTCTTTATTTTACAAAAAAGGGGAAAAACATCCACACTGTGAAAGAGATCCAGAGGTGGCGCTGTGACCCGTCTCTGTCCCGTCTCTGTAACATCCAGGTCAGGTGGTTCTGGGTTTCAAACAAACCGATGCTACTGAGGTCGATGCTTTGTTTCCTTTGTTTCAACATCAGGAGGCCAAATAATAAAAACCAAACTGCTCGGTCTCAGAGGAGAGAAAAAGCACATCCTCGTCTGCAGGGATACAAAGATAAGTTCATGGAAAGACTTCAACAAAGATTTATTGGATAAAATTCAAGACTTTCCAGGCTAATGGGAACCCTGTCAACAACCAAAGAATCAGATCGGATGCAGGATGTTTTTGATTTCTCCAGGTCAGGACTCGATGTCAAAGACGCCCTTTTGTGCATAATGGCCATTTGAAAAAAAGTAAAATAAAAATAATTACAATAATAATTATAAGAGGTGGGCAAAGAAGTGTGTATTTTCACGTAGAGGTATGTCACTGTTCAATCATCCGTAAGGTCCTGAACAAAGAGGACCTCGGAGCGGCTGAGTCCTGCCTCTTTCAGAGTGGGGGGGTTGGGTTGCTCTTCAGTCGGGAGGCAGGGCAGAACTCGACGAGGGAAGTTTGTAACTATCTGGAATTTCTCTGGACTTTCTTTGAGAGAGAAGAGGAAGTCGTATATGACCTGTAGAAGGACAACGGACACAGAACAGACCAAGTCAACAGACGCTCAGGTGTGTGAAAAAACGGTGATTCCCAACCACTGTGACGAGGAACTGCACGGGAAGGAGGGAAAGGGAGAGGGGAGAGGGGAGGGGAGGTGAGAGGGGAGGGGGCAGAGGGGGAGGAAAGGCTGGAGTTGAAGGTTGAACACGTGACTCACCGTCAGAGACTGACTGAAGAGGAATCGTCTCTCTACTCGTGTGTCATTGGGAAGCTTAAAGACTATTTTGACACTGTCTGGATCGTCCGACGCCGGCTCTGGTGGAAGACATTCCGACTTCCTCTCCTTCTCCTCCTCCAGCGTCTGGAGTGAAGCGACACACGGACAGAATGACTTACGGTTCTTTTTCAGCTCAACAGCACTGGGCGTAGGCCGACATCCGTTGGACTCACCCTACGTCTCCGCTCTTCAGCGAGGGCGCTCTGTCGAACCTTCTCCTCCTCTTGCATGCGCTGCTCCTGCTCCTCCCGTTTCTTTCGGTCCTTTTCCTGGTCAGCGCGGAGTGAGGCCATGTAGGCCTCGTCCTGCTGCTGCCTCAGCACCTGGGTCTGGTTCCGTTCCTCCCTGGTTCAAAAACAACAGACATTACTGACACAATTACCTTATACACACAAATGGGACTATATATATAAAATACAAAAAAATAAAAAATAACTAAAATCAGTTATATTAATAACCCTTATAATTAGAAATAAACAATAACAAAACTGTTGATTTGTACACAACATCAAGGCTGAAATCAGGAAGTTAAAAAAACCTTTGTGCTAACGAGCTCAGGCTTAATTTATATGGATTAAGACACTCCTGTTCAAACTCTTCTGGCTGGCAAATTAACTAAAGGTCCACTACTGCCACCTACTGGGCAGGAGTGTGTCCATTTATTACACCAGTGAACTTGAATGTAGTGAACTGAAAAGGCTGCTCTTTAATGTCCTTTTTTGTAGTTGACCAATAAGAGTGAAGGAAACAGTCCCTGTCAGGTCCTACCGCTCAAGGCGCTCTGACATGAGATAGGTCTGGTTGGCATCCATGATGAAGGTGAGCTGATTGATGAGGTCCTCAGGCTGGATCAGTCCCTCCAGTCTGCCCACCACCGTCATTTTGCGATCCTTCAGCATGATCATGGCCAGGAAAGGATAAGTGTTTTCTCTCAAGGCCTGAGACACTGAAACACAAACGAAAATGAGTTTAGATGTAGCTAACCAGTAGCTAACCAGTAGCTAACCAGTGTTTCCCAGAGACACTGGTGTTCCTTACCTCTGTAGCCTTCAGGCCTGTTGGTGGAGCACGCCCAGAACAGCATTTGTGTGTTGATAAAGGTTATGACCTCTTCTGTACATAACGTGGAGCTGTAGGTTAAGACACCAGTGTCAAACATCTGCATCACTGTGTGTCTGATAATGAGCAATCAGACTGTTGAGACTGTTGTGTCACTGCAGTGACGTATGTTCTGTACCAGCAAAACTCATGAGTGTCTTGATGATCGTCCCCGTGCAGGTACACTAGTAGGTATCGTAGCTCCCGTTTGGCATCATTCAGCGCCTGTGACACATGAAACAACAACAACATGAAGAAAAGAGTTTCTGTTCAATCCATTGGAACGTCCAAATAAGCACCATCTTTCCAGATTTAAAAGTACAGTCCACAGACCGGGACCTGACCCCACCTGGCTGTATGTGCCCTGATAGAACACAGGGTGTGACTGGCCGTATCTTTCCTCAAAACTATGAATGAAGGAAACGACGTCTCCCACAGGGTCTGTCACACGAGCACGTGGGTCTGGCCTGATGAAACGAAGGGCGAACCTAAACAGGAAAAAAATAGATATTAGCAGCAAGTCACACTCCAAATTCAACAGCCAAGAATTCCAGTTACCTGAATATATCCAGGAGTGTGTAGTAAGTAAATCTAAAAGGTAGCATTATCAAGTAGTAACTCCATCCTATTAGGCCCTGAAAAGAACAAAGAGTTTGGTTCAAAATATGAAGATTATTTTCCTGTTCTTTGTTTATTACATAACAATACAAAAAACACACAAAGTTCAATTTGATCAAAGAAAAGTTGAAAAAAGATACAAAAGAGCAAATTCTCAACAAACAGTTATTGGTTTAAAGTTTTAAAGGTTTAAAGCACTAAGTGTCTGAATGCAGACATACCCTGGGCTGTGGCCTTGACACAATATAACTATAAACTCTATGGTCTGCTGTATTGACCTGTAATGGTCTGGATGGTGGAGGGTTAAACACACTGGGAACTCCTTCCTGCTCATTCAGTCTGTCTTGAACTGCGGCCTGTGGAGACGTCAAAGGTGGATTTAGTCGAGAACAGACAGAACAACAGACCTAGTACTGACGTCTGAGGCCCCACGTCCACCTGGGAAAAAGGCAAACCCTGGGGCTGCTGGGTAACAACTTTTACTTTAACCTTGGTCTCACTAGATTATAATTAAACTAATCAACAGGTTTTTAAAGATCAACCAAAACTTCTTACCATTTTTTACTGTACAAATAAAGTGTTGTTGTAACTTTTGATGTGAATTTGTTTTCTGTTCTCCTACAGAGCAAACATGGATCACAGATACAAAAACAGTTTTATCAAGTACTTCATGTCAGGTTTTTGCATATAAAAAAAAACTGAATTGAATTCAGACTTTGTGTGGGTTACTACATCTCATACTACAAATCATTTGTGATGAGGTCCATGATTTACGTGCCCACACTACCAAAGTAATTCATGACTGGACAGACAATCCATAGGACTAACACTCAGTAACTGGTCAAAGGTTAAATTAGGACATACATTGACTAAAATAACACTACAGGGAACAAATCATCTGATTATTAGCTGTCCAGATCTTTAGCTGTGACTTCTGTTGACATTTTTAGCCCAAAATAACCTACAAAGTTCAGAAAATGTTTTCAAACAACTTGTTAAAGACTTTTTTACCTCTATATTCCAATTATGCTGTTCTAATGTTCGACGGCAGTGGTCCATTGATTCCAAACCAGTTAGGTCCTGTCAAACACACACAGACAATTGAAGACCATTAGTAGGTGAGAGGTCACGACCTCCAGCATTCTACATACAATCAACGGCGAACCGGTCCACCAGTCACATTATGAACCTCTTTTTGGGCCGTGATGCCATAAACTTTGCCCATCCCTGGTATAGACGCCACTTGTCAATCGAACGGTTTTTATTTCCTGTAAATGATCGAAAACTGGAACTGCATAATCTCGAGGTATGAGGTGAAATTTAAAAAGAAATGAAGCCTGGTGTCACGTTGACATTACCGTTATATTGGTATGGTTCATATCTCATAATTACAAAAGGCTTTAGAACCCGAGTAGGGTTCTGATCACAGGTAAAAAAATAAAGCGATTTTACTTATATCTTACAGTGTGTATACAATTAAACACCATAAACATGCGCCACCAGAGTGACTTTAGTCCACGACATCATTGTTTTAATTTGTTAAAATAATCCAAAATGGCTAAAGTTAAACGCTTGCTAGCCCTTGAAAACAAGTAGGTTGACGAGTTTCGTCAGTAACACAGTTGAACAGGAGACGGACTATCACTGATCCTTAACTCTAATTGTCAGTAAAACAAAAGTGTCCATGAATATAACATTGTAATAAGAAGTGTTGTCACTAGGAAACTTAAGTGACAGCTCCATCAGGACTGCTAAGCTAACGCTACCTAGTGTTAAATGTTACATTGAATCGTAATGTAAACCTTACTTCATACAAGTTGACGTAAAGTAAACACACACTTAAAAAACCACCATGATCAGTATTATTTAGTGATGTTGGGTAGCCTTATATCTCTGTGACAGCGCGATAACTTGTTAGCTCCCTTAGCTATTAGCCACTGCTAACGTTAGAACTGGGGAATCGGTACAGGAGATGAGTATGAACAGCCGGTTAACACGCCCGATACCGCTGAAGTTAGGACCAACACCGGTGTATCACTATGTGCTGTGACGGGGACATGGTTTGTTTTGTATTGGTGCAGTTTACCTGAAACTGGAGCAGTTTTTCGGTTTGTGCCTGCGATAATTCTGGCTCCTCTGGCGCCGCCATCTTAGCTCGCCAATCATCTACCAAGTCCTTACAACGTCAGCTCTCTTTTCCCGTGCACACTGTGCTGCTACGACTTGTGTTGTACTGCCACCTAGCGGCCCCAAAGGACATCAGCCATTGTGAAAGTCCCCAAATAAGACTTTACTGTTTAATTCTTCATTTGGTTTCAGAGATAACGCATATTAATACAGCGCATTGAAATAAGAAATCAATGGAGCTGTAAAAACTAACAGCTAGTGGCCATAAAAAATACTTTCATACAACAGCGTTAAACATCTTGTTGTTGAATTTAATGTAAGTTTCTCTGTTTCAGACAAGACAGAATTCTTTATGACGATCGTTCTTCAGTAAGATAATCGGGTTTTAGAATTCTCGTCAAAGGATCACAGGCAGATTGTTGGACAGCGGGATCATTGATTCTGCACAGTCATCACGTCTTCCATTAGCCTCTCGTAGGCTCGCCAAATATCGCGAGACAAATGAGCCTCTGGGTAAAAAAAAAAGCAAACTAGCGGTTCTTAACCTTGTTGGAGGTACTGAACCGCACCAGTTTTACATGCGTAATCACCGAACACTACGGCCAAACGGGGGGCGTGTCATCACCAATCATATAAGTCGGGTGTGTGTCTCCTCCTCCACCGAGCCCAGGTTAAGAACCACTGTTCCAGAGAGACTACTTAATGAATACACATTTATGGGTTTGTTTAATTTGGAGATGCTGTGTTAACACGTTTAATATCTGGAAGAGAAGAAGTCGTGTGTGTATTTTCCACCGTAACAATTCTGACATAATAGAAAATATTCTTAACCCAATTTCTTCACATGAAGAGAAGTGAATTCAAAGACCAACTGGATGTTTGACAGTTAAACTGTAACACAACAAATGCAATCATCTAGAAAAAAAATTTATTAACACAAAGAATGACTTTTTGATAGAAATCCTCAGAATAAATCAACTGTCACTGAAGTGTCCCCTCTCAGGTGCCAGGACGTCAATGTCACTTTTTTCCCTCAACCATAATGATGTGGTATCCAAACTTGGTCTTCACAGGAGGGTCTGTGTAGACTGGTTTGTCCATGGAACTGACAGGAAGTGCAAACGCTGCATCCTGGAAAGGCCCAACCATTGAGCCTCGTGTCATCCAGCCCAGATCACCCTGGGATCAACACAACACTTAGTCACAGGATGCTAACAGTAGCACAGCCACATGCCACAGGAAGTGACTCGGTGATGATTAGCAGTTGTAGTGAAACAAGTCTGTATCAACCTTTTCTATTGACTATGAAAAGCACTAGTGTTCAATAACTGAAAACATGAGCTACATTTCTGCTGTTTTTAACTTTACATTCAGCATTTCCCTCATGTTTTTCCCTGGATGTAAATATTGGGAATTTGATCTCTATAAATAAAACTGTCTCTACTTCACTTGACCTTAAATGGTGAAAAGAAATCGTACAATTCAAGTCTAATTTTGAACATTTTCCAGAGATCATCCATCAGTTATTTTCACATACTGTAAACGTGGCTGTCTAGCAACTTAAAATAAATTCTGTTTATATTAAGATATCTAACAATGTCTTCTTTCAGTCGAGAAAACCTCATAATGAATGACATCTGTTACATTCCTGGTTCACTGAGCCTGATATTACTGCAGTATCAGCCTGATATTACTACAGTATCAGCCTGATATTACTGCAGTATCAGCCTGATATTACTACAGTATCAGCCTGATATTACTGCAGTATCAGCCTGATATTACTGCAGTATCAGCCTGGTATTACTGCAGTATCAGCCTGGTATTACTGCATTTTGGTTCCTCAGCTCTATGAAGTCTCTATCATCTGCTGTGGGAACAGAAAAAGGAACCTGCTCATGTTCTTACTCCTTGTCGTGCTTTGTCTTCACTGAACTGTGAAGCCACTTCACTGAAACGAACCCCAGCCTTCAGTTTCTCCATGGCTTCCATGCATTTTCCATGTTTTTCACAGAGAACATGTCGAACCTGCAGACATAAAAGTGGATTTGTCCTCGTCTCTTTTCCATTATCATACACAGGAAGATAAATGTGGTTGTTTTTCTGACACAATACAGGACAACACCAGGCACAGTTTCATTTCTGGGTTTTTAGAGTAAGAAAAAATAGAAGAAAATATTTTATGGCATGACCACCATCACTTTGATACCTTAAACACATTTAGCACATAGTATCCATAGTATTCTGAAATACTTATGTATTTGTGGGAACGGAGCATTAAAACACGGAATGGTTACAACCGGAAATAGAACAGAAAAAACAGAGCCAAGTTCCTTGAACGTATGTCGTACTGAGGTCCATAAAACTGATTCAGATTCTGATGCTAATGGTTGAGGATAAACATCAGGCCTATGACAATACGTTTGTGAGAACGAGCATGTATGAAGCCACTGCACCACGTGATCCCTGCAGGAACAGCAGAGGTACATCAGGTTCTTACCTTCACAGCGGTTCCTCCCTTCGGTGCTTTGTCTTTCTTGTCAGTGTCAGCGCTTCCCGCCGCGGCCGCCGCTCCTACAGAATAAAAGTAAACACGTCGACTTTAACACGCTGCGCTGTTCAGTCCAAACGTTACTGTAATGTTTTCATGTCGTGAAGCCTCGACTGGAGGGTTAGATCTGGCTGCGACATCGACGTATGTAAACGTGTGTAAATGCAGCTAGCAGCTAGCCAGCAGGTCACAGCTGATGCTCACTCACCTTTCCCACCTTTCCCGCCTTTACCCTTCGGCGCAGCTGGTCACAGCTGGTGCTCACTCACCTTTACCACCTTTCCCGCCTTTACCCTTCGGCGGCATATCGACCGTAATCCAACTAAAAACAGCTGAAAACTGTTAAATTACACACAGTTTAAGACATTCACTTTTCACTGCTGCTCCAGGCGCATTCATTCTGCGCAGTTGCTCTTCTTCTCCAGCCAGTGACCAGAGGCCACTGCCGCTAATGGATACATCACTGTCATCTAGTGGCATTACTGCATATTGCAGCAATTTGAAATACAATCTACAGGCAAACGCTGTCTGGTTCTAGAAGATTCATCTGCAACAAAACAATGTGTTTTGTGTATTAGTGTCGCGCTTGTTACATTAAAATGCTTATTATAAAAGACGTTTTAATGTAAAAACATTAAATAGTTGTGACAACAATGTCACATAATGTTTTTTCTTCAAAACATAATGTAAATTAGTGTTTCACATTGTAAGAATTAAACATGTTTGCTTAGAAAGATACACACTTACACACAGATAAGTGATGTGGGCAAAAGACAAGTAGAGTCGATCAGACTGATCCCACACTCAGGAGGTGAGATCACATTCACTGTCCCACAGAGAGGGTTTTAATCATTAGTCCACAGGTGAAGGTGTGGGAAGGTATGTGTCACAACTGATCCAAAAGTGGTGAAAACACCAACTCTGACAACCTAGCATCTCGTGCATCCAGACTATTTCAGGCTGAGGGAAATTTTCTCAACATTCTTTCAGCGGAAACAAAAGTCTCACATTTTATCTCCACACCATCTTACACGAGTCGGCCAACATTTACAGCACTGTGAAATTGGCCAATGAGAAGCCGTGGCGCTGATGCTGAGCAGAAGCTGTGAAACAGTTTCCTATACATGCAGAAAGACCGACCACAGTGTGGGAGTCTCAAACTCATGGCCTGTGGGCCACTTCCAGCCCAGAAACCTGTAACATCTGGCCCGCTCTAGCTCTAGGTGGGCCGCCTGAGGAGCAGGAGGAACGTGATGAACACAACTGATAACTGATACCTGACAGGCAATCTGGGATTAAGAAACCACTGTTAGTCAGTTTACAGCTGCACCAGATTAAAACTGTGTTTGTTTGTCAAATATGAAGAAGAACGTACAGAGCAGCGACAGAACCATATTCTCATGTCGACATTGAGTGAATTATAATCTAACATCCTGTGTTTCATCACTTCATCAAATACATTTGGTTCAGTTGAAAAAAACTAATGTGTGTGACCTGAGCTACAGCAGAATATAATGAGTGGCAGAACTGAACAGGTGAGTCTGTGTTCACGTCCCAGTCAGAGCCCACTCTTCTTCTTCACTCTTCTTCCTCGCTCTTCTTCTTCACTCTTCCTCCTCGCTCTTCTTCTTCACTCTGCTTCCTCGCTCTTCTTCTTCACTCTTCCTCCTCGCTCTTCTTCTTCACTCTTCCTCCTCGCTCTTCTTCTTCACTCTGCTTCCTCGCTCTTCTTCCTCGCTCTTCTTCTTCACTCTTCCTCCTCGCTCTTCTTCTTCACTCTTCTTCTTCTCTCTTCTTCCTCTCTCTTCTTCTTCACTCTGCTTCCTCGCTCTTCTTCTTCACTCTGCTTCCTCGCTCTTCTTCTTCACTCTTCCTCCTCGCTCTTCTTCTTCACTCTGCTTCCTCGCTCTTCTTCCTCGCTCTTCTTCTTCACTCTGCTTCCTCGCTCTTCTTCCTCGCTCTTCTTCCTCGCTCTTCTTCTTCACTCTGCTTCCTCGCTCTTCTTCTTCACTCTTCTTCCTCACTCTTCTTTCTCACTCTTCTTCCTCCCTCTTCTTCTTCACTCTTCTTCTTCGCTCTTCTTCCTCGCTCTTCTTCCTCCCTCTTCTTCTTCACTCTGCTTCCTCGCTCTTCTTCCTCGCTCTTCTTCTTCACTCTGCTTCCTCGCTCTTCTTCTTCACTCTTCTTCCTCACTCTTCGTCCTCACTCTTCTTCTTCGCTCTTCTTCCTCGCTCTTCTTCTTCACTCTTCCTCCTCGCTCTTCTTCTTCACTCTGCTTCCTCGCTCTTCTTCTTCACTCTTCTTCCTCGCTCCTCTTCCTCGCTCTTCTTCTTCACTCTGCTTCCTCGCTCTTCTTCCTCACTCTTCGTCCTCACTCTTCTTCCTTCCTCTTCTTCCTCCCTCTTCTTCTTCACTCTGCTTCCTCGCTCTTCTTCTTCACTCTGCTTCCTCGCTCTTCTTCCTCACTCTTCGTCCTCACTCTTCTTCCTCACTCTTCGTCCTCACTCTTCTTCCTCCCTCTTCTTCTTCACTCTTCTTCTTCACTGCCCCCAGTCTGGCTCTAATTTATATTGTTTTTCAAAATAAACCACAGACAGACAGAGGAAGCTGCGGCGGCGGCGGCGGCCGTGGCGGGAAGCTTCTTCCTTCTTATTGTCTTTTGACAGTGATCAGAATTTCTCCAGGTGAATATTTCCCATTATGCACTGCAGCTCAGCAGCGGTGAGGACCAACTGACAGTTTTTTCTTTCCTTCTCGTGAGCAGCGTTTTCCGCTCAGCACCACCACAGCTCCTCTCCTCTATCCAGGAGCTGATGCAGCCGATTCCTCACCTACTGATGGTGTCACAGACAACTACACCCCTGCACTAACTTCCATGATGACAGCTGCAGCCTCACAGATGTGTGACTCATGTACACACTGATCTGAAGATAAAATAAACCAGAACTGCACTGAGGAGAAATGTCAGTTGAACACCAGAGCAGTTCTTCTAAATCACGTTCAAATTCCTCAGTCTTCACCGTCTGTTCTGGTCAGCGTTTCACATTTGATGTCTTGTTGTCGACCTGGAAAATTAAAGTTCAATTCAACTTAAACCACATATAAAAAGGAAGTGTTGGACAGTGAAGTGTCACCATTCAGGTGAACTGACAACGTGTACTTTCTCATAATATCAGTACAAAGTACCCACAGTGAGTAATGTTCTAAGGGTCTGTCTGATGGAGAAACATCTGGTGGTTTCTACATCACTGTCTCTACGACCCCCTCCCCTCCCCCCACCACCACAAATAAGTGAGAAATGATAAGTGTCCGTTACTCAGCGAAACTAAGTGTCACTCTCGCCAAACAGAGG